TAGAAGAATACATAGTGTCATTTTACAGAACTAAGGAAAATATATGCACAGCGTTGGTATATAATGTACATACATATGTATATACGTATTTACAGAAAAATCAAATGGACTAAAAAACTAAATAAGTGTATAAACAATTTCGAAGTCAATTCTGTCGTTCGGGTGTTGACTTTAATTTAAAACACATTTAAATTTTTAACTGAGATTGTGGGATGGATTAAAACCCCAAATACGATAAACATAAAAATATACTCATTAACGAAATATACGGCCAACTATCGCGACCATCAATAGTGCTGCCCTATCGGCAGAAAGTGCCTATCGACACAATCGATAGTTGGCCAAAACCATGGCTAACTATCGATGGTGTCCACTACCGATAGTTTGCCACCACTACCTTATAGCGGTTTACACGAAGTTCTTTTGGAAATTTATTTCTCTCTCAACTTTCTTGAAGAATCAATGGAAAATTAATATACTCATTACATACTGGTACACTCTCAATGTGTGCAGAAAAATATATAAAACAAAGTCAGTGTACGCATGCATACACATTAAGGCCAACCTTAAAATATGAAAATTTAAAATTTTGCATCTTAAAATAATTTCTAAGCGTCGCAACCTAGTTTCGAAAAAATTTAAATGTGATAAATTTGATATGTTTTGAAAACTATCCATATAAATACATAGTTATGGCAAAAAGAGTTAATAATGTAATAATATGCTTCAAAGACTGTCATTTGTAAATTTTTTTTCCGAGTAAATGTAGCGAAACGCAGAGTTTGTCTGATCTTCCTGAGCTAAAAGCGGTTTCTTGAATTTTTTTAACTTTCTATGTATAAAAAGTTTTGATGATGATATTTTAAGGACCACACAAATGTGCATATATATTCATGTTTGAGCGACCTAGCGAACTAAAATGGGATGGGACAATTGTGCAAAAACAACACGAACCCCCTTTTCCAGTACCTAGAACTTTTCGCCATAGATACGATATTGAAAATACATGTCAGTATGGCGCGAATAACATATCGACGGTTGAGTGGAAGATCGACCATTCTCAGTAGTCGGTTCCAAAACGCCCTATCTCAGAGATTGGCTCAAGAACACCCTACTTCAGAATTTGGTTGAAGAACGCATTACCTCATAATTTGTTTCAAAAACACCCCATCTCAACTGAAAGTATGTTGTTATAGGGCGTTTTAAAGTGCCAGCTGAGGTAGGCCATTTTTGAACCGAATTATGAAAAACGGCGTTCATCAATCAAATTCCGAGATAGGGCGTTACGAAAAATTTTCGAGCCGGCTGCCGATATAGGTCGATCTTTCACTCAGCCGTAGATATGTAGCTGTGCCAAATTTCAGGACGTTAGCATAAGCGGTTTCAGAAAAAAGGGGTATGAGCAGTGCAGTTTGTATGGGAGGTGCCACGCCCCCTTTTCCAACACCTACTCCCTTTCGCCGGTACTGATAACATATGTTGCTGTGTCAAATTTTAGGACGTTAGAATAAGCGGTTCCAGAGCTAAGGGGTATTTTTTTTTTTGTTGTAGAGGTAGCACAAAGCATTGAAAGCCGATAAGTGTGGGACTTGCCTTTCGGCTCACCGCACTAAAAACCCACCCCTGCTCCGTTTCCCTCCTTCCGTGCAACAACCGCAAGGTATTACTTCGCGGAGGGGGAGCGGCCTATTGCCTTTCTATGAAGATCTGCGGAGTTGTCCCGCTTGAGGCAATTTTCTTAGGATAGTGCTTCCCATATGACAAACAACGGACCAATTTTCTGTTGACTCAAGCATGATATCCACCAGGTTGTCAACCTTAAGGCCCGTTTACATACAACTTTGGCGTTGCGTTGGCGTTGCCGTCGCTTCGACAGCTGACTATGAATACATGCATTTATATGAAAGTCTCCACATAACCAAAGTTGGGCAACGCCAACGCCAACACAACGCAGAAAGATGACCAACTCTCAACTTTTCGCGCGCGTCATTCGTCAGCTGTTCCAAATAATCAAAATTATGTGATTCAATTTTCATTTTTAATCAAATGCGGGCAAGAAATATATTTTTAATGCAATTATTGATGTAAAATTTTGGTTTTTCTGCCGCTAGTATTTTAATTTAGTGACCAAAGTATTCTCTGCTAAGCGTTCATTGTAGCAAGCACGGGCGTTACTCGCGCTGCTGTCAAAGCGACGCCAACGCCGACGCAACGCCAAAGTTGTATGTGGACGGGCCTTTAAGTGGCCTCCCCGCCTTTATGCTCAAGTCGTCCCTTTGGGTGGCGAACTGCGGACTGACGAAAAAACAATGTTCAGCGTCTTCGATTACCTGCCCTGTACAAAAAGTGCAGTACGGGTCGTCTTCGTGCGTAAATCTGTGCAAGTATGCTTTAAAGCAGCCGTGTCCGGTTAGTATTTGAGTCAGGTAGAAGTCAACCTCTCCATGTCTTCTGTCAAGCCATTTGCTAATACTCGGAAATAAGTCTATATGCCCAGCGTCCGTTAGTTGAGTGGTCCCAGCGGTCTTGCCACTGCTGCAAACAATTTTGTCTCGCCCTTTCTTTCTCCTGCTTTTCAGATATTACACCTATTTCTTTTGCCACTATGTCAATAGGACAGAGACCTGCTACTACTAACGCTGCTTCCTCTGACGTTGTTCGGAAAGCGCAACATACTCTTAAGGCACAAAGTCGGTACAGTGATCTAGCTTCCCGAGCGTAAGATTTCGTCTTCAGTGCTGTTGACCAAACTGGTGCTCCATACAGCAGATAGCTTCTAACTACACTTACATATAAAAGTCTGCGTTCTTGCTTAGGCTCCCTGACGTTTAGCATTAGTCTTGATATGAGCTTTAAATGTGAGCCTAGTATCGAAAACGATGCCTAAGTATTTTAGACTCTCCGTCGAGGTTATTTCGGTGCCGCAGACCCTAATTTTGGCCACTTCTCGTAGCTTTCTACTGCTGAGCAACACTGCCTCCGTCTTCTGGTGTGCCAGCTCCAGACCTGCTTCCGTCAGCCAATCGTTTACCCGGAGGATTGCAGAGTTTGCAGCCGTGGTTAAATCCCGCAAATGTTTGGCTACTACTACCACTGCTATATCGTCAGCGAACCCAATTATTTTTGCACCCTTTGGCAGTTTAAAACGCAGAACGCCGTCGTACATTGCATTCCAGAGCGCTGGCCCGAGGACGGATCCTTGTGGCAGGCCCCGGAGATATTATATTTTTTGACTCCGTCGTCTGTTCCATAGATCAAAACCCGGTCGGAGAGATATTTGCTTATAATCCTCCGAAGATATGTCGGGACTTTAAACTTCTGGAGGGCGTGGAGTATTTTCTGCCAGTTTGCAGTATTAAAAGCATTCTTCACGTCTAGAGTGACCAGCAAGCAGTACTTTTTCGATCCACCTTTCCATCGCTTCCCGCTGATCGCCTCTTTCGCCAGCTGTTTAACTAACATGGCCGCTCCTACAGTTGATCTACCCTTTCTGAAACCGAACTGCATATTTGATAGTCCTCCACCTGTCTCGATAGCTGCTACTAGTCTGTTATTTATCATACGCTCTAGCAATTTTCCCGTCGTGTCCAGCATACATATAGGGCGATATGCTGGAGGACTTCGCGGTGGTTTTCCAGCCTTGGGTAGGAGGACTAAGCGCTACTGCTTCCATATAACAGGGAACACGCCTTCCGCAAAGCACTCATTAAACGTGCGAACAAATACTTCTGGACTCGCCTTTGAGACAATTTTGAGCACTCTGTTAGGAATGGAATCGGGGCCTGGAGATTTTTGGTCCTCTACTGTAACTTCAGGAAAATCACACTTGTTGCTAGGGAAGTTTTCTCTCGTAAAAGTTGGCTTCGAGGGGAATAGCTCGTTAACGATTTGCTCTACCTTTTCCGGACATGTTATCTGTGGCCGAATTGAAGTTTCCAGCTTCTTTGTAACCACCTTGTACGCCAATCCCCACGGGTCTTGGTCCACGCTACTGCATAGGTTCTGGAAGCACTTTTTCCTTCTGTTCTTTATGGCTTGTTTGAGCTCCTTCCGTTTACGCTTATACAAGGAGTGTATGTCCTCATACGGCCCTCGCACTCTAGCTCGTTGGTAGCTTCTCCTCGCCGAGTTGCATTGTCGCCGTAGGTCTGCTATGCGATCCTTCCACCAATAGACTGGGGCGTGTCTGCTGCTGGAGGATTTGCTTATCATCCAAGCATCGCAAGCTTTTTTAATAGCGGCTATTAGGTGGTTTGCCATATTCGTAGCTCCCTCTGGTAGAACGATTTCTGATGCCATTAGGATAAGTGTTTCTTCATCCAGCGAACTCAGCTTCCAGCCGACTGATTTCACTCTTGAAGTGCTTCGCCTTTGTATCTCGCTCTCTATCGTAAAGATGATCGCCTGGTGGTCACTGTAGGTGTACGCGTCGCTAACTTCCCAGGAGACGCGCTGAAACAGGCCACTGCTCACAAAAGTCAGGTCGATGATTGACCCCGAGCCGTCCTTACAGAAGGTAAACTTGTCTCCGTTGTTTAGAAGTGCTACGTCTAGGACTGATAACGCCGTTAGGAGAGCTCTACCCTTGGTGTTTGTCCTGCGGCCTACCCATTCTACGGCCCACGCATTAAAGTCACCAGCAATCACCACATTTGCCCTGGTTCTCGCATCCCTCACTATGTTATCCATTACTCTTTCAAACTCTTCGAGGCTGAAGCTTGGGGGTATGTAGCAACTGTAGAAGACCAGTCCTGCCACCCTTACACAAACGAAACCTACATCAACTTTTAGGTTTTCTATATGATAAGGCGTTTTAGCATAGCTCCATACCGCAGCTCTAGCGCTGCTGTCCTTTGCCCACAGCTGGGATTAACTGAGTACTTTATACGGCTCACTTAGCATTACTATGTCTATATTTCTTTCCGTTACGGTTTGGTTCAACAACTCCTGAGCGGCCTTACAGTCATTTAGGTTCAACTGCAGTACTCTCACGATTTTAGTTATTTTTGCAAAGCTTCTACGAAGTGGGGACATTCTTTGCTACCAGTTCTGTGCTTGGTTTCTGGCTGGTTTCTTCTAGCACATTCCTTTTTGCATTCGCGGGCTTTGTGATCTAGCTCTCCACAGTTGAAGCAGGTACCCTTCATGTCATGTGGCGTTTTACAGTTTCTAGCCAAGTGACCGAATTCTAAGCATTTGAAATACTGCATCGGTTGTACCTTCGATCGTACACGGCAAATAACCCATCTTACGCGGATTTTTCCCGCAGTCAGCAACTTGGCTATTTTGGTGCCGCTATACGCACTCCTTAAAGATTTAATGGATTCCTCCGGAAGTTTGGCGCCATCCAGTTCTTTCTCTAGGTCATTACAGAGCTCCTGTTTAGTTGTAACCTCGTCAAGCTCTTTGATTTCTACCGCAGTTTCTGCGGTCAAGGACCTAACGGTTACCTTTTCGCCGAGTGCCCTCTTTACTGATTCTTTAATATTAATCGTACTTGGATCCGTGGGCTTTGTCAGTTGGAGGAGGAGGTCCCCATTGGCTGTCTTGCGTACCTTTGTTACGTTCTCTCCGACATGTTTTAGTTGTGGCTCGTTCTTCACTGTTTTTAGTATTTCTGCGTAAGAGTTTCCTTTGCAACTTATTATTAGCGCATCAGGTCTGGGAATCTTTGCTCGTGGTTTCCTTTTTCGTTCCACCTTTTTCCATTGCGTGGCCTCCTCGGTCGTTGCCTCTTCACGTTGAGGGGTTTCCGCACCTTTTTGGTTGGTGGTTGGCTCTTTTTGTTTGTTCTTACTCTGAGGTATGAGAAGTGCAGTATGTATGGGAGGTGCCACGCCCCCCTTTCCAACACCTACCACCTTTCGCCGTTTGTACGGCATTAATAACATATGTTGCTATGTCAAATTTTAGGACGTTAGAATAAGCGGTTCCAGAGCTAAGGGGTATGAGAAGTGCAATTTGTATGGGAGGTGCCACGCCCCCTTTTCCAACACCTACCACCTTTCGCCGTTA